TGCTCTGAAGCCAGAGAAGGGAGGTTTTCTGTTTCGAAGATCCACTGGATGTTTGCCCAGTGGCCTGGGGGTAACCAGCTACTTTCGGCATGGACAAAGCAGCATAGCCCAGTGAGCCAGTTGGCTCCATGGGAATCTTTCCGGCAAGTTGCCTAACACTTCTGAAGCTGGGGTTTCTGTCCCAGGGATCCAGCTTGCCTCGCTGCTGAGCAGTGTAGGGGGTTCTACAGGCCGGGCGGGGGTGCAGAGGAAAGCCTGAGGTTCAGGTGAACCACGGTGGTGTGTATGGCATGGCAAGTTTGTTGTTGTGGAAAGAACTGATGGCCTTTTAAAAAATTATTTCTCAAATCTTAGAGAAACATTTAACAATGTTATTTTTGCTTTGAGGTACGGTACTACTCTAGTATGACTCTGGATGTCCATTTATCACAGAAAAATCAACCTGAAGTTAATATTCTTTGAACTCCTTTTTTTTTTGTTTTTTGTTTTTCTCTGGTACCGGGAACCGAACTCACGACCTTGTGCTTGCCAGGCAGGCGCTTTTGCTGCTGAGCTAAATCCCCAGCCCCTTCTTTGAACTCCTTATTTGCTCATTGTGCTGGGACACAACATCTTACACATATAACTTGAAGGGGAAAAGGTTTAACTTAACTCATGGCTTCAGAGGGTTGAGTCCATGGTAAGCTGGCTGCAAGGCAGAAACATCATGGTGGAAAGGCACAGCAGAGCAAAGACACTTAGTTTATCACCACTGGGAAGAAGAACATGGGAACGGGGTCAGAGGAGGGATCCAGGAACAATATATGTGTCCACAACCCACCCAGACACACCCAGAATGTGTTCTTTCAATCTTCTGAGTTATTCCCAATCTTAACTGACACAATCGAGCCCAACTGCCACATCCCACCCTTTGCCAGCTTGATACCCAAACACATCTCCCTACACCATCCTTAAATAAACACAAGGTCATCCTACGTAACACGATACAACTCTCATGTGCAGCTTAAATGCAAAAAAATTCCTTTGCCCAAATCTCTACAGTTCCGGTATTCTTCAAAAGTCCAAGTCTAAGTCTTTTCTGAGACTCAAGGTAAACTCTTAGCTGTGAACCTCTATGAAAACTGAATTACATAATTTCAAGGTACAGTGCCACAGGGTAAACTTTCATATTCCAAAAGGGAGGAATGGTGCTCAGAAATAATAGGATCAAAGCAAGACTGAAACCCTGTGGGTGATGTCTGGCATCTGCAGTACCTAGCGGTGAGATGTGTTTCAAAGGGCTTGGGTGGCCCCACTCCTGTGGCCTTGCTGGTTGCAGCCCACACAGCTTGCCTCTTGAGCTGGTTCCACCCAGCGTCTGCAGCTTTCCTGAGCAGACCTTCCATCGTCACGCAGCCAGGAAGCGGAGCACAGGAACTGTGCCAGAGAGGAAGGGGCCATCCTGTACCCACGGTTATCCTCTGTGACCCACCCAAACACACACAGGAGTGTCCGATTTACTTCACTTAACATTCTGGTCTCAAGGTGCATGCATTTCCCTTCAAATGACTCAAGTTTATCTTTTTTAATGGCAGAATAGTACTGCATTGTGTATAACCATAGTTTTTTTTTAATAAATAGAAAAACCTATCTTGAAATTCATATGGAACTTCAAGGGACCCTCTAGTAACCAAAATAATCTTGAAAAAAGAGGAGTAAAATAGGAGAATCCATATATCCTGACCTCAAAGCTTACTACAAAGACAAAGTAACCAACACTGTGGCAGTGACATAAGGACAGACATACAGACCTGTGGTGTACAATAGACAGGCCAGAAATAAACCCTTGCAGATACGGTCAAATGACTTTTGACAAAGGGGTCAAAATCATCCAATAGCAAAAGGACAGTATTCCCAACAAACGGTGCTGGGAAAAACTGTATACTCACAGAAAAAGAATAAGGTTGGACCTTTACTTAAAATCATA